ACGAATCCCGGAAGATGATGTCATGAAAATTATGTTAGACATAGGATGCGCTTTAGAGTATATTCATCAAAATGAAGATAATTCATCTGCGATGTCAAACCTGCGAACGTTTTGATGGGCTGCGATGGACGAATCAGACTCTCTGACTTTGGTCTAGCCATAATAACGACTTCTGGATTTGCGCGAGGCAATTGTGGAACTCCGTTTGCTAAAGCTCCCGAGGTGCTCCGACACATTCCATACACGAAAGCGATAGATTGGTGGGCTTTGGGAGTCATGGCGTTTGAAATGTTAATCGGACAGAAGCCATTCACGCCATGTACGTATTCCTCTCTAGACATATCTCTTTCTCTCTCCGACTCGTCCCCTTTGTTTAGTCACTGACTCGATTTTTCTTTTTCTCGTATCAAATATCCCTTCTTCAGGTGATGGAAGAAGTCTTTCATACAACATTATACATTCCAAACCACAATTTCTTCCTTCGGTCCCTCCCGATTTCCGTACTGTCATCGAACTCCTCTTGGAAAAGGATCCCGAATCCCGAATCTGTTCTCTGGAACAGTTACAACTAGCGGACTTCTTTGACGAGTTAACTTGCGGTTTTTAACATATCCTCTATCATGGTTATACTTCATACTAGGTATGTTCATGAGACTCCTCTTTGTTGATTCCTGAATCTGTCAGTTACAACAGTTACAATGATCTAACATATGCGGTTCATCTATTCTCTTATATAGACTCCGTGGTCTTTGAGCTTCATACAGTCATCAAAACGCTCTTGAAGCCGGGACAGCTGGAGGATTTTAATGAGTTGCCATACTGTTTTCATATCTTGGTTATATAGACTCGGCCTCCTTCAAACTAAGTACAGTTATAAAAATCCTCTCGGAAAAAAATTGGAAAAAAATTAGAAAAAATTGGAAAAAAACTAGAAAAAAATCTCAGTCCCCGAATCTGTTCTCTGCAACAGTTATCACTGGCGGATTTCATTGATTTATCATACGGTGTTCAATATATCATCTATTATGGTTATATCAACGCCGCCTTATTCAAACTATGTACATTCGTCCAACTCATCTTGGAAAAGAATCCCGATGATCGAAACTGTCCTCTGCAACAATCACAACTCGCGGATTTCGATGTTTAACATACGGGGTTCAATTTATCATTTATCATGGTTATATATACGCCATACTTTTTGAATTACTTGCTATAAATCTACTGCTAGAATGTTTGGACGCGTCCTTTGATATCTTGTTTCGCGTACATGCCTGCTGCTCTTCTATTTAGTTTTCATCGTCTATTTCTATTTCAATGATTTGATATACCGTTTTCAATTTCTCCTCTATCATAGGTATCTAGAAGCCGGTTATATAAAACGCCTTTTTCTTCATATTGCTGTTATGAATGTTTTGGTGAAAATTTTGGATATATCTTGAACCTTTTGTATCGCTCATACATAGCTGTGATGCTCTAAGTTAGTTTTTACCGTCTATTTCAATGATTTGATATACCGTTTTCAACTTCTTCTCTATCATAGCTATTGAGAAGCCTGTTGTCTGGACGTCTCTTTCTTCATACTCCTTGTTATAAATGTTTTGGACAATCTTTGGACTATTTTGAATCTCTTGTATCGCTTAAGGCCTATTGCTCTTATAGTTAGTCTTTATCGTCTATTTACACGCTTATATCAATTATACACGATGTTCATTATGAGCGAAAGATGAACTCAAAGTTCTGCTTGTGTGAAAGCTTACTTCCCCTGCCCGTAAGATATGACAGGGAACTGGTGCTCGGTAATTATATGTGGGCTGTTGTGTCTATACTACTTCAAAATCATCACTAACATTTCTCAAATTAGAAACATGTGACAATCTACAGTCATTCCTAAGAAGCTTTTCCCCCCGTCAATTATAAAAAAGAATGGGCTAAGTCACCAGGAAATTTCATGATGTTCTATATCTTTGAAGTTTGAGGTCTTGAAATATGAAAATAAATCATCATCATACGATCAACATTTCAAATTTCAGACATTAAAAGACTTTATTCTATCCAAAAAAAGATCACCAAATCCCTTGACAATTAATACCATAAGCCAGAGCCCAAATGACATCTTTGGTACCATTTCCCGTCAACTCATCTCCATGAATCCAACGATGACTGAATGTATTAAAAAACATCATATCTTTCTATACAAATAATTTCTAAGCTCTAAATCAGTACATAGTAGTTTATTCACTCAAAGCATATCTTCTCATAAATGATAAGAATAGAGTCAAGAGTCTTGTCATTAAGCCTAGGAAAACCAATCTTGTAACACCTTTTAGCACCAGCTACGAAAGGTTTTGTAACAGCGGTGCAAGGTAAGGTAAAATTCTACAAGGCAGTTTCTTCAAAAGAGCAAATTGAACTCATCTTTGTTGAAATCCAATCAAGACAGGTCTAAGTGTAGTACTTACGAGTCTAGTCCGAAAAGGTTAAGATGTTAGGTTATAACAGTGTAAGGTTAAGATGAATAGTCTCGGAGTGGTTTTCAGGTTTGACGGTTAATCATCCCAATCAATGTTATCGAAAATCTTCCCCAATTTGCTTTGAGTGTTTTTCTTTTGTATAGTCCAGATGATTGCCCCCGTTCTTACTCTCTTTCCTCATCTGTTGGAAAGAGAGTACATACAGTTGTTTTCAAAAAGCTTGCCGAAATTTGCCCGCAAAACTGGAGCAATTTGGCGGTGAATTTGTGGCAAGCTTTTTGCAAACGACTGTAAGTAGTTTCACTTAGATCAATCATCACGGTCTTTTACTAATTTGTCTACTGTTATACATTAGAAATCCCTCAGATCACTAGCCACAAGTTTATCAAACTCACTTTTATTTTCTCATATTTAAAATTTCCTCCGAGCCTTTAGGTACATCATCTCATTCTAACTATATATATAAACCTTCATCATCTTACTTGTCTTTTTGTTTCATCTTCAATTTTTCTTTTGTGGTGTTTTTAGGTTAGTTCGAGAAAGGTCTGCATACCTTTGAACAGGGAGAAGATTGCTTACATTAGGCACTGATTGTTTAGGTACAACGGTGTTCTTATCCATTTACAATCTTGGCTTGATTTTGTTATGGAATTGAGAGGAAGCCAAGTCACTCCTGTTTAGAGTAAGCAACTTCAACCAAAAAAGGCCTCTAGAATCACTATCAAATTAATATTTAGTCTTTAACACTTTCTTTGTCCATCTTCCTCTCAAGATCTGACATTAGCATCACGACTTTGATTTGATTTGATTTTCTAAAAAGAACAATTTGCATAACTTAATGATGATAATATAAATTAACTTTGATCTTCAAAACTTCCTTGGTGATTCAAACAACAATTTTATAAAGTAAAATGTACAAAATGCATACCCTAATGATATCACAACTTGCTCTTCTGAGCCACTCTAATTTCTTGATCAACCAATTATTGATGAGATAAACTCAATGTTTTGGAGTTCATCATTTTTAGAACAAGACACTGACTTACTGATTTACTTAAGAAAGATAGGTATCATTGCACTTGACACTTGACTCATCTGGATAAGGATCCTTGATCATGGTAATGAATTGTTGGAATTACGTGTTTCCTTTTTGCTATCTAAGTCTTTTTCATCTTTCAGTACGATCAAGTATCGTAATTACGTTGTAATGAGTCCTTTTTTGTATTTCTCTTTAATCGACATGACGTCATTGGTACCAATGAATATTGTTACGTCATTTACGTCATCATTCATTTTTCGTCGATTCTTTTTGTATCTTGTGTTCTCTATATAAACTGATCTCAAACTTCAGTTAGATGTCTTTCTTCTTCATCTGACTGTTTCTCTAAAACACATCTTATCATAAGATTTGTAGCGTTTGTTGTTCTCAAACTTATTCTAAGATTTGTTTTGTTTTTGTTTGGAATCAGTCCAACAGGTTATGAGCGCCTAGAATCTCGATATATCTCGATTCGAATTTTTTTTTCATCGGTCATGGCTTCTTCTTCGAACCCTCCGAATCCTCCAAATCCTCCAAATCCTTCCCTTTCTCAATCTCAGCCGAAAGGGAAAGAGTCAGCCAAAGAACCTTCGACCCCACCGACCAACTTCGATGATCTATTCTCAGTCGGTTCGAAATGGGGCCCTCTAGCCTTACCTACATCCTCTGTGGTAGGCTTAACTGTTTTGGAACCTCCAGGCGACAATTCGAACTATGGCAACTGGGAGTTAGCCATGTCAGGTTCTATTATCGGAGCTGGAATGGCCCATATTCTTAACCCAAAGCTACGTGATGTCGAGCAACCCAATTTTCATTGGACCCAACAGAACAACGCTATATGTTCGGTTCTCTTACGCTACGCACACTCGGACAACTATCCAGTCATGCGTCCTCATATGGGTAATGCAGCCACTATGTGGCAAGCTCTTTCTGATTCTCATAACGATGCATCGATGGGCTCAAAAATGCTTGTACTTCGAAGATTGATATCATCACAAATGATCGATGACAACATCGACGCACACTTAACGAATATCGAAAAGCTTTCAACTCGGTTAGGTCAGCTCATCGATAAATCAAAGTTGAGCATGGATGACATCGTATGTGCAGCAATCAGTTCTTCTTTACCTGCAGAATGGAATTCCGCCATCAGTAGTTTCATGAATCAGACTTCGGTCACTGCCTCTTCTCTTATTTCCGCTTTGCGACGAGAAGGCATTCGACGCCGAGACCAAGCTCTCGTTGTATCAACTCACTCTCTTGCCGTCACTAGTAACGCTATGCCGCCATCAAGTCCAACAACTGTTTCGTATCGACCGACTCCGCCGGTTATCAATCAAAACAACCGAAGAAACAACCGTAGACCGACCAGGCAAGGACCTAGTTCCGCTAATCAAGAGTTGACCTGTACTCATTGTAACATACAAGGTCATAGTTGGCAAACCTGCAACAAGCTCGCCAAACAATTTTTTAACCAGATGTTGCAAACTCATCCTTCTTTATCAGTACCACCATCTCGCGCTCCTCAAGCGAACATGGTTCATCAAGAACCTATTTATCACCCTCCTCCGAGTCATCAGGCTTCTGATCAAACGTCTCTATCATCTTGGAGAGACGCATCTGATACTATCTTTCATCAACCAGAAGGGTCTAGTTTTCTTGTTATTTCTGATTCTTTCGCTATGTACGCAAATCCTGATGAGCGACTTTGGATTTTGGATTCCGGGTGTACTCAAACATGTCTTCCATCTTTTTCTACCGATGAGTTAATCACATCAACCTTGTCATCCAAACCTCACACTTCTGTTATACGTGTTGCAAATGGAGTCAACTTGAATGTTTCTCAACAACGAGCTATGCAACTGCCTTGGACTACTATCGGTTCTACCTTGGACGTTATCGAAGTCCCTGGTTTACAACACAGCTTACTTTCAATCTCCCAACTTCTTGCTTTGGGATTTTCAACCTCCTTTTTGAAAGACCGAATTGAAATTCGTGATAAAAACGGTTCTGTGGTAGCAAAAGGTTTCTATGTGAACGGCTTACCGGTCCTCAAACACAATGTCAGCAGTTTTTGTCTTGAATCAAATGTATCTTCAAATCCTGATATGTCTTTCTATCAATGGCACTGCGTTTTGGGTCACCTAGGAGAAGTTGGTACAAGACAAGCTCTATCAGATTTAAATTTATCCTTTTCAATAAACAAAGAAGATGTAGAAAGAGTTAAAAATTGTATTCATTGTTGTAAAGGCAAACTTCATAAAAAGACATTTCGCTCAAGAAGTAATTATCGTGCTCGGTCTCCTTTTCAAGTTGTCCATTCTGATGTGGCTTTCTTACCGCTAAAATCCAAAGCTGGCTATCCCTATTTCATTTCTTTTATCGATGATTTTTCAAAATTTACTGTTTGTTACGCCATGAAATCGAAAGATGAAGTTCACCTCTATTTTAAAAAGTTCATCAATCTCGTAAAACTCTGATTTAATCTGCCCGTTCTCAGTTTAAGATCTGATAACGGTACTGAATATGTGAACAAACACATGTTTGATTTCTGTTTACTTGAAGGTATCACACATATTCAAGGAGCTCCATATACTCCTCAATCTAACGGTGTAGCTGAGCGATGGAATCGAACGGCTTCTGAACGTCTGAGAACTTTATTCTCTTCCTCAAAGGTACCTTTGTACTTTTGGCCCGAATGTCTACAACAGATAATACTGTGCTTCAACAACTTTCCGACCAAGACAAACGCTGGTCTTGTTTCACCTCTCTCTGCCCTTGGTCAACCACATGACGATGTCGGCCTTTTTGCTCCTTTTGGTTGTGCAGTAGAGTATCTTCTACCTCCTCCTCTTAGATCCAAACTATCGCCCGTGTGTCAAGAAGCGGTATTTCTACATTCAGTACCTGAAGGAAAACACATCGTTGCTTATGACAGAACACGTCACTTGCTCATCAAGACATCATCGTTTAAATTTTATTTCGACAAGTTTCCGTTTGTCACATTACCTAATAAACAACCCACAGATGTTCTATCACTACCTTGGCCAGATTTAGCATCTATTGATGAACCTGTTCAACCTATCATCAAAACCATACATAAATCTTTACCTACTTCTTCACAAATCCCAATCATTACTTTATCTCCTAATTCATCACCTACCCCGTCCAACATTCCTTCTCCGGTTATCACCGAGCTTCCACTTCCTGTTCCCACACCAGCTCAAATTTCTGCTTCCACGCCGCCTGTACCACCCGTTCCACGCCGTAGCTCAAGAGTACGTACAGAACCTGACCGTTTTACACCATCAGCATACGTTATCAACACTTTTTCGGCCGAACCAAAATCCTATCGGAAAGCTATGGATACGGAAGAATCAGTACAATGGCAAACAGCAGCAAAGAAAGAAATTGACACACTTAATCAACTAGGAACGTGGCGACTTGTACCAAGACCTAAGAATGTCCGAGTCTTGAGATCTATGTGGGTGTTCAAACGAAAGATGTTACCATCAGGAGAGATTGATAAGTATAAAGGAAGGTTGGTAGTGTTAGGAAATGGTCAGGTAGCTGGCGTCGACTTTGGTGATGTTTTCTCACCTGCATCTAGACAAGAATCAAACCGTGTTTTACTTACGGTTGCGGGTGTAAAGAAATGGAAGGTTAAAGGCTTAGATATCACTGCAGCTTTTCTACATGGTGATCCCTTAACTGAAGACGTGTTCATGGAACAACCAGAAGGTTTTGTCAACGACATTTATCCCAATCACGTTTGTAAACTTATCTTACCTTTATATGGCCTTCATCAATCAGCTAAACACTGGAACGACCGATTTACGAAAACCCTGATCAAAATGGGTCTGAAGCAATCAGCACACGACCCCACTTTGTTTTTTAAACTTGTCAACAATAATTTGGTTGGTTTAATTACCATACATATAGACGACATATCCCTGACGGGAGAAGACGATTTCCTTTCATCAATATCTTCTGATCTTCACTCACAGTTTCCAATCTCAGCAGACAATGATTTAGAACATCATCTTTCAATTTCCATTAGTCGTACTCAAGATCTTCAATATTTCATTCTTCAACAAACGTCCTATATTACCAAAATCACTAAGCAATTCTTCTCTGAGGAACCTCACAACGTTTTGACTCCTTACGTGCCCGGCTTTGCTTCCTTGATTCCAGCTACCGATGTGTCGACATCCAACCCCAATTATGGCTCAATCATAGGTGCACTACTATGGCTTGCACAGTGCACACGCCCAGACATATCCTTTGCAGTAAATCGTTTATCACAATTCTTAAAGAAAAACGATGCTACTCACTGGAACGCTGCACTACGTGTTCTGGCTTATGTTTATCATTCTCGTCATTTAGGTTTAACATTAGGTGGATCTGACAATAAACTTGAAGGCTATACAGATTCAGACTGGGCGGAAAACTTACATGATCGCTCGTCTACCTCAGGTTACCTTTTCAGATTATCAAACGGTCTCATCTCTTGGAAATCAAGAAAACAACGAACGACGGCTCTTTCCAGTACGGAGGCAGAATACATGGCATTGAGTGACGCTGGGAGAGAAGCTATGTGGCTAAGACAACTTTTACAAGAGATTCGTTTTATTTCAAACTCACCTACACAAATTCACTATGACAATTCCGGATCTGCTGCACTAGCCAACAATCCTGTTCATCACTCGCGCAGCAAACATATTGATTTACGCTATCATTTCATTCGTCAATTGATCAAGGACAAAGCAGTTTCACTTAAACAAGTTAACACATCTTTTCAACTTGCAGATTTCTTAACAAAACCACTTCCTCGACCGGCTTTCATTAACTTTCGTAATCAGTTAGGTTTCAAGGATTTATCTATTAAAAGTTGAGACTTTTCAGCATGGGGGGGTGTTGGAATTACGTGTTTCCTTTTTGCTATCTAAGTCTTTTTCATCTTTCAGTACGATCAAGTATCGTAATTACGTTGTAATGAGTCCTTTTTTGTATTTCTCTTTAATCGACATGACGTCATTGGTACCAATGAATATTGTTACGTCATTTACGTCATCATTCATTTTTCGTCGATTCTTTTTGTATCTTGTGTTCTCTATATAAACTGATCTCAAACTTCAGTTAGATGTCTTTCTTCTTCATCTGACTGTTTCTCTAAAACACATCTTATCATAAGATTTGTAGCGTTTGTTGTTCTCAAACTTATTCTAAGATTTGTTTTGTTTTTGTTTGGAATCAGGTAATGAACACAGGATCTGACTCACCGTGTCCGTATCCGTGTAGCACGTCCACGTGCACACACCAAATACTTTCAATACATACTTGAAAGACCCATTAAAGAGGTCTCCACAATAGGCATGTCTTCCCTTTGTCAACTGGGACGTTGGCACTCAGTTGACCCCAACTGCTGACAAAGGATCCCACAAATTCTTTTGTCAAATTGTCATTCACAAAGGGTGCTCGGCACCGATCTCAGACTAAAGCCTACCAAACAGCTTTCTGTTTTTTTTCAAAACTCTCCGTGTGTGCACGTCGACGTGCTACAAGGATACCGACATGGTGACTGTTTCTCTAAAACACATCTTATCATAAGATTTGTAGCGTTTGTTGTTCTCAAACTTATTCTAAGATTTGTTTTGTTTTTGTTTGGGATCAGTCCAACATGAATGTTTTCAATCTAGACACACTGAGATTTGTGATACTTGACGCCAGATCAATTTGATGACTTATATTTGTTCAAATGAGTGAAATATGTAATTGTCTACGCATCTATCTCTGTTCTGTTGGATTGACTTGATTTTGTGATCTTTAGAATGGTTTATGAGAGTACATATGATTGAAATAAGACATTCAAAAGTGCTTGTAGAACAGAATGTATGGAGTCTTGGATTTATTTAATTTTACTATCAATGAGTAATTTGTCAAAAAGATTAGGGTATGAATCAAAGTGGTTCATTAAGAGATCATCATCTCTTGTGAATTCTATAATCAACTTGAAAAGTACTTCATTTATCCCAAAGTCCATTGATGTGTGAAACCAATCTTCTTCTGAAAGCTTTACAGAGTTAATTGATGGTTCTTTTACATTCAAGAAAGTTAATATCATCTTGCTCCTCTTTTGGATTGATTATATGTAGAGAAAAAATTCAATTAAATTGCAAAGACACCCAAATAACAAAGAAAAACCCTATCTTCTTTCCTGCACAATAAATCCCAACCTCAAATGCAAAGCCGTACAAAAATAAAATCTCAAGGTAGAAAGAAAGAAAAAAGATGACAAAATAAATTAGGTATCAAAATTTCTGTAATTCAATGGCATTGGTAGGAAGAAAAATCGAAAATAGTAATCAAATGTGGTGTTAAAGAAAAGAAAACGTTCAAAAGAAGTTTGCTCAAGTAATGAAAAGAAAATGGGATTCATAGATGATTTTTTTAAAATTGGAAACCAAATTAAATGATTAGAATTCAGAAAAAAAATCTTATGTATCTATTCAAATGACTTGCAAAAAAAATGCTCTGGTATCATAAAAATTCATGTAAGGAGAGACATAAGAAATGAGATTAAATAAAAAAAAGAATGACTTTAAAGGAATGAATATTAAAAAAAGGAGTGATATGAATCATCATTATGATTCCCTCAAAATCAATTGAGAGAAAAACAATGGTCAGTGAAAGTAGAAGAAAGTAAAAGGGAAAAAGGTAGTTCAAGCTTGAAGAGGAACAAAGATGAAAGAACGATTTGGGTAAACGTATGAAGAAAAAACAAAACAAAAAAGAAGGGTTGACTTCAATAAATGGGGTTCTAAGCAAGACGAAAGTGTTATTAAAATAGGCATATGAATTATACAAGATGAAGCCAGTCAGATCAAATTAAATTCATGCATTAGAAGTTATATCATTTTCGATAATGATACTAGATTCAGTTAGTCTTCTCATCGGTACATGAGGTCTTCTACCTTGATGATCTTCGTTAAATTCAATTTCAGGTGAACTATTTCCGACCTCACTAGAATTATGAGAATTATGTTTAGACCGACTAGCGAAATTGATGGTTGCACTACGAGTCGGTAATTGTGGTGGATCATATCGACTTCTAGTCTTTGCAACTTCAAGTGATCTTCGACGATGTACATCTGTTGAACGCCAACCTAATCCAGCTGATGAAACTTCTGATCTATCTGTTGGACTTGGTGGTGGAGGTGGTACAAGTGCAAGTCCATCAAGTGATTGTCGAAGACTATCCACACGGCGTGTTGATAGTCTTTTGTTGGTAGTTTTTGGACTTGTATCACCCATGTTGACCAGAAGACCTGATGGGCTACGTTCTTGCATGAATCCTATATCCGGAGCTATTGAAACTCGTTCAGCAGCTGTTGTAGTCATAGCTGATTTCTCTGGGTTGTTGAATTGTTTCTGTTGACGTTCTGCGCGATGGTGCCGTACGGAATCTTCTGATCCCATGGCAATCATTGCACAGACTGGATTTTGAATTAATCCATAGACTGCTCCATAGACTCCTTTAATTATTGGAGCAACAAATGTTCCAGCAAGGTTCTTGTGCTCCCAAATGGCTATTCGATCATCACAAAAAGAATATCGATATACATCATGAGTATGGAAATCTTCTTTTGATCATAAAAAATGAAATCAAACTTACGAGCCACAATAGCCACTGAAATAGGCCAAAGGATAAAAAAGTAAATGACAGATAAGATGGAACCCTTCCAAATAGACCAACCCAACCTCTTGAAGAATTGACGCCACGTTAATTTTCTATTAAAGATATCATTAACATCAGAACCTGAGAAGAAATGAAGTCCACGACTAAAGCCTTGATCATTATTGAATTTTCTCCACCATCTAACAATTGTCCAGCGTGTTGCTTCTGGATCTTTCTTCGCCGCCGAACCCCATGCTGTATCGGGCCATGGGAAAGGAAAGGCTTCCACTTTATTTTTTCGTAAATCGACGTGTACCATTCCTGATGCGATACAAAATGTAAGGATTCCTTGAATGAAGATGGTAATCGCCATATCTCCTGCCACGGTGTTCTCTACAAGATAGAATAAAGCAAACATACGTAAGACGTTTTGAATACTAGTTGAGTTGGGCGTCATCCAACGCGCGGTGAAGCAAGATCCGGTCATATCACACACGACGACGCCAATGATGCGATGGGGTTGTGATCAGTAGTGTTGAAGGACTAACCCGTCAAGATCCATACTCGTACAGAAGTTGCGTTGAGATACATTGCACATCCAATCCCAAAGTTGACTGATGTATATCGAGCGAAGGACAAAATATGTCAGGATAGAGTGAATCGTCAAAGTTAATGGAAGACAAGAGAGAAAGTAACTGACAAGCTCCATCTAGCAAGGCTGCACCAAGCATTTGAAGAACGATGATGTAACTGTAAAAAAGAGGTTGGCGTAAGTGATAAGAAGGTCAATGGCGTATCAGGTTTGAGAGATCACTTACAACTTCTGTCTTCCTGTAAGAGGAGGGATGCTAAGAGGATGAAGTCCAGCTGGCCGACCAGGGAAAGTAGATTGATCATTTGTAACTTGAATGATTGGATCAGTTTTTTTGGTCTTGTGATCATATCTGACATGATTGGCTTCTAGTGCCGAAGGAGAGATTAGAGGAGATGACCGAAAGGGTTGAATCTCTTCATTTGACATTTGATTTGTCTTGAAAGCTGAATTGGAAGATGGAATGTAAAGAGATTGAGCTGAGGAAGCTGAGATCAACGGACGTGTTTGTTGTGATGGTTCGTGATGTTGTCTTGGTCGATATGATGGATGATGATAGCGAATTGATGGATTGCGAAAGTAAGCTTTGTGATGATGTGTTGGTGTTGCTTTGTTGGTAGTCAAAGAAGATTGTTGAGTAGCAGAAGAAAGCAAGTTAGCTTGAGAAGGATCGAGACTGTTAGCGGATGATAAGTTTATTGAGATAGTCGAGAGTGAGGATTGATAACCAGACTGGCTATCTCGTTCCTTCTCCGAAGTTGTTGATCGTGGTAATGGTGATAGAGCGTGGCGGGTAAGGGTTGGAGGGTTGGTTGCTGAACTTGTTCTTGTTGTAAAGGGTTGACTGTCGAGGTCAAGATTAAGAGTGATGGCGGGTGCTTGTAGTTGTTCTTCGGTTTCTATCAGAATCTTCTCCATCTCTTTTGATCCTTTCTTTTTAATCTATCTATTCGGATTCCGCCTTTCCTCAATTCATTAAGCAAGTTAAGCCTCTTCTTCCTCTCCTGTCAGTCTTTCGTCCAATCGATTGTATCTGTCCCACTCTATCCTATAAACAGAATCCATTTAATGAATCATAATCAACTCATGAGTCATCGAATCTCCCAACCTTGTCATATGCAGGCTGACCGAAATTCTGACCTCGAAACCCAGACAATCTACTTCGCACAAAACCTTGATTTCTTGAAGATGGAATATGTATCTGACAAGTGAAAGCAAATGATGAACAGAATCAAAAGATAGGGATTAAATCGATACCTGTTGACCGTTCTGTTGAAGATATCGCAAACCAACTTGAAGACTTGTACGAAATAAGCTTACAAGAAAGAGTTGCATTTGCCAGTGGCTCATCAGAAAGCGTTCTGATTTTCTGACCTTCATGCTCTGTACA